ATAAGTCTAAAATATAGGTACGTATCAGCTCCCACACCGATTAGTTTGGAAATCTTTCCACTGTACATAGCACATGCCTCAACCAATCCCTTAGATTTAGGAATCTTTTTTTTTCTTAACAGAACGATCGATACCTATTGTTTTTTCTCTGTACATATGCATTCCATCGAGTCTGGCACGCGTATCTCCGTAGCTTTGTTTCTCTCCCTCTCTTTCACGCCAGACTCCATGGACAACTGCAACTCATCTTCCATGCCCAAGGAGAAGACAAAGCAAGCAATCTCGCTTCCAATGGACAAGGACACGAAGACGGCGACCTGTTAGTCCTAGGCGAGCTCGCCCACGTAACTGCAGTGCGTCCTCCCTGCTGGCGCCCACGCCACGAGCGCCGACCATGGCGTTGTTGACGATGGACCGCACCCGGTGCGCAAGACCATGGCGACCACCGAGCAGCGGGCCACCGAGTCCTTCGCGGACGCCAAGGACATGGCCGTGTCCGTGGCGTGCTTGTCTCAAGGTCGCCGCTGCGACCACCTAGTCCGGTGTGGCCATCCCTTCTCCTCCACCGCTGCCATACGACTCTGCTCACTTCTACCTCTCACAAGATAGCAAATCCGAATTATGCACGATCGTGAAACGAATGAAGAATCGATTGCGAAACGATGAATCAAAGTGGGAAAACCTCGTTCAAGCCACTCGTAGTCGTAGTTCAACTCGGCAAAGATCCTCCTCCGCCTGTCGCCGAGGGCATCCCAGTTGATCCACTCGGAGCGGCGACCACCATTAGAGATGTCGAGCTTGAGCGGGAGACCGTGAGATAGCGATGGGGAGGGGGGAATTTATAGCTCCGTGGTCATTGCTTACAAAACAAAAATTTCGATCATTGGCGCCATTGTGATTCCTCCTCTCTGCTGGAATTTTTGGATGAGCCAAAAATTCCATCGCTTTTCAACTTGCCGAGGCTTTTCCCTCTCTGCATGCCGCTGAAAAGAGAGAGAGAAAATAACGCTAAGTCGTCAGTCATGGGAAACGTAGGCGGTGGGTCCAGCGAGGAAGAGGGGAAACCGATCGGGGGAGAGAGAGAGGATTGTGGGGTTTGTTACAGTTTGTTAGGAAGCAATCTGATTGGGAGAGAGAAGATGGCCTGATTTTTCCTTTTTTTCCCTCGGTCTCACATCCTTGCCCAAACCGTGCGTTAATATTGGTGCTAAAAACTATATGGCTTATATTCAGAAACGGAGGGAGTACTAGATAAAAACATGGAGATCAATTTAAAAAACATATTTCGGTTGTTATTTTAAAAAAAATTGGCATATCCGTAGTGCATACAAATATATACTCACGTGTAAAAGTTGGGATGTAAACTCAAATTAGAAAAATTCATACAAAAATGACATCGCAGGGATTTTATTTTTTTAGTGCACACACCTAAAATTTGTCATTTTCGCTGGATTTTTTCAAAAATGTGTTTGCATCCAAAATTTTACATGTGAGTACATATTTGTATGCACTACGAATCTACTAAATTTTAGATTTTTTAAACAACCAAAATATATTTTTCTTGATTTAGTTTCCATGTTTTGACCAAATAGGTGGATTCCACCATATATTTTGCCCCAATACATTGTGCAGCAACTGATGTATTCAAACCAAGCTCTAGAAAGACAAGTGGCTTGGAAACTTCACTCTGGAAGAATAATACCCATCTTTATACAATATTATATAAGGGAAAAACATATATCAACAGCCGATGCTTTTAGTTCTACACCGTTTAACATTTCCTTCAGAAGAGCTCTAGGGGAAAATCTACTTAAATAGAATGAATTAGTGGCTAATATTGCATTTGTTCAGGTGGATGATCAACAAGATTCCATTAAGTGGAGCCTTATGAAACAAAAGATCTTTCACAGTGAAATCAATGTATAAACACTTAATTAATCAAATTTCCATGACTTTAAACAAGTTGTTATGGAAGCTAGAATTAATACTTAAAATCAAAATATTTATCTGGTTCTTGATAAAAGGGGAAATTTTAATAAAATATAGCTTACTAAAATGAAATTGGAAAGGATACGATAGATGTTTTTGTGACAATAAAAAAATATTCAGCATTTGTTCTTTGATTATCAAGTTGCTAGATTTGTTTGGAGAGTCTGTGAAGTGGCATTAATCTCAAACAACAAAAAGACGTATCTGATTTATTTGGGGTGTGGGATGTATAGGTAGACCAACACTTGCGCTCTCTGATTTGTGTAGGGGCAAGTGCAATCTTTTGATCTATTTGGCTATTTAGAAATATTAGGATTTCTGATAAAAAATGACTATACTCTTATTTGCATGTTGTTTTGAGGACAAATTATTGGACACATTTCTGGGACGCTATGCATAAGAAGAACGACATGCCATTTTTGAAGTGGGCATGTCGCACGATGGAGACCATGGCCATGAAAATATTCGCCAAGCATGGATAGTTGTTGTTTAAGAGGTTTAGCATTTATCAATCATACCTTTGTTTGGCTTTGATTTTTGAGAGTTTTTTTTTAAATAGCAGGAGGCTTTAACTGTAGTAAGGATTGGTTATACACAAAACTCTTGCTGAGATCAGAATAAACTTCCTTTTCCAAAACTTTTTTGTGTTGTGTGTTCTTAAGGGACACAGTAAGGACTACTTTGGATGTTATAGCTTTGGAACCTCCAGATGAGCAAAATGATGGTTTATGGAAAAAAATAGTTGAAGGTGGAGTTTCTAAAACTCTAAAATAATACTCCTTGAGTTTTTTTACAAAGTCATGAATTTTTTAAAAAATTCTAAAAATATTTTGCATCCAAACATAATCTAAGTGTATGCTTATATGCACGGATACTAACAACCTATGAATGATTGAGTAGGCCTTGTTTGGTTCCATGTCAACAACGCGTTTCAGTGAAGAAAGCGGAAAAATCCCGCCGAACGGTCTGCATTGGACCTGCGTAGGACGACCACGCACGACATGAAACACTACGCGCTTGAGCCGCGTTCGCTTATCGTGGTCACGTGATCGGCTGTCGCGGAACCAAACAGGCCTGCAGTGAAGTCATTATGAGTGTCTAGATATGGATACTTGATTTTCCTATTTGATATAAGACCACCATTTATTGTTATTATTATTAGATAAACAATTTATAGGTGGTAAATATGTAGGGCATGTTTGGTTCCACGGGACTAGAGACTAGATCACTAGAGACTATTTTTTAGTCCTTTTTAACTAAATAGAAAGGACTACTAGAGGGAATTTTAGTCTCTAGTTCACTAGTCCCTTAGAAGAGGTTTTTTAGAACTAATGGACCAACTTTACAGCCATTATCCCTCCCTCTCTCTTATCTCTCACCTCTGTTCAAAGGAAGAAGAAGAATATTTTAGTTTTGTTCAGTCCTTTAGTCTTTTTTAACCCCTAAATTCCTCTTTTAGTTTTTTTTTTAAGTGTCTAGTCTCTGGTGCCTGCAACCTGGGCCTTACTCTACGACGTCTTATCCAATCCACACTGCCATCCTGGTCCGTCCGATCATCCAGAGGAGAGAGAAAAGATAAGCGAAGGGTGGTGCAGTGCATGAGCAGGCGGCCGGGTAGACTGGGAGAGTTGACCGGAAAGTCCTTGGGTTTCCGCGTCCCGGCCTCACCTCACTCAGCACACCACCCGCTCTCACGGGCCCCACTGGGCCCCCACACGCTTTGAAAACTCTCGTCTCGCTTTCTAATTCCACACCGGCCCTGCCTGCCTGCCGTGCTCGCTCGCTCGCTCGCTCTAGTCCCTCCCTCCGACTCCGAGACTCCGAGTCCTCTCCCCTCCCTCAACCCGCAGCTTCGTCGTCACCCCGCCGGCGCTCTCCTCCATCTCCTGGTCCGCCCGGCTACAGGTTCCCTCCAAGGCGCGGGAAGCAGCTCCCGGTGAGCACCCATGGAACCCGTCCCTCCCTCACTCTCGTCCTCTCATCTTTTTCTTTTCTTGCGGTTTAATTATTATCGTTCTTGCAAAATTTGCCATGGTCCGGACGTCCGGTACGATCTTGCATTCTCTGGTCTGGGCGAGGGTTATTAAATTCGAGAGGACCTGCCTGTCGTGGTGGGCTGGTGGCAAGGAAAGCGATCGATTTTGTGTTTTTCGCAAAGTACTGTGCTGGAATTTGGGAGAGAAACCCCGTGCATGGTGTTCGTTCCAGCGGGTTTGGCCCCGTTGGCTGCGCTGAATTTGGCTGGAAAACTCTATTCCGGTTGAATTGCTGCGAGTGAAAAACACCGTTCCGACTAAAAAAAGAAGCCGAAGGAGGAAGGGTTTGCGACAATCAAAAGGTGCTTTTTTTAAAGAACGACCCAGCGTGTGAAATCAGAGAGAGAGACGGAGGAGCATGTGCTCTTATGGTGCCCGCTTTCGGGAGATCTTTTTCCTTAGATTTTTTTTTCTTCTGAAAAGTTGTGCCCCTTTTTGCGGTTGGAGCCGTTTATGTTGGGCATGAGAGATCAATCAAGAGACTAAATTAGAAAGCCTTTTGACAGTTTTTATAATACGTAGAGTCGAGGATTTGTTGATGATCTGCGTCTCGTTTTTTTTTTTTTTTTTTTTTTTGCTTTCCATGCATATGGCTGCACTTCTTCTTTGTTGCAAAAAACCTTAACAAAAGTTGCCATCTCGTGTTATTTGCTTGCCTCTAGTGGGGATCGGTTATTTAACTGACGTTGCCTGTATGTGGTTCACATTATTTGGCGTTGTCGATATCACGTTTGAATCGAATTTTGCATTTTAGGTAGTGGAAGAGAGAAGTTGCATAGCGACTTTCAGGTCCCCATATGGTTGCTGTCACCATTTACCGATTAGTATATGTCTCGTTTATTTTATTTTATTTTTTGAAAGTCCAGCGTCTCTAATCCTGTGCGTTCGAATTTGATTTTGTGTAGGTGAAGCTTGAATCGAGAAGTGGTGTTAACATCATCAGGGAGAAGTTGGATTAGTCCGCCAAAGTGCCCGATGACAGATCATTTTGCTCTAGGTCTAGGTGCTCTTCTTCTGTTGCTGCTAAGTACCAGTTGTTTCAGTTCTGAGCTTGATGTCCAATGCTTGAGAGACGTTCAGAAATCAGTGATTGATCCAAATGGTATACTCAAGTCGTCATGGATTTTTGATAATGGCACTGCGGGTTTCATATGCAAATTTACTGGTGTGGAGTGCTGGCACCCAGATGAGAATCGAGTTCTTGCATTGCGTCTCAGCAACCTTGGTCTTCAAGGTCCATTCCCTAAAGGTCTTAAGAATTGTACCAGTATGACTGGGCTGGATCTGTCAAGTAACAACTTTACAGGCGCCATCCCTTCAGACATCGAGCAGCAAGTGCCATATTTGACATCTCTGGACCTCTCCTATAATGGTTTCTCAGGAGGAATTCCAATACTTATTTATAACATTACATACCTAAACACCCTTAATCTTCAACATAACCAATTGAGTGGTGAAATCCCTGGGCAGCTCAGCGCCCTTGCTCGGTTACAAGTGTTCAATGTTGCTGACAACCGACTATCAGGGACTATTCCAAGTTCTCTACGGAACTTCTCGGTATCAAACTTTGCTGGTAATGAAGGACTGTGTGGGCCTCCATTAGGTGACTGCCAAGCTTCAGCAAAGAGCAAGAGCACTGCAGCAATCATCGGGGCTGTTATTGGAGTGGTAGTTGTCGTCATTATTGGTGCAATAGTTGTGTTCTTTTGCCTGCGGAGGATACCAGCCAAGAAGAAGGCAAAGGATGAGGATGATAATAAGTGGGCAAAGAGTATCAAAGGAACAAAAACTATCAAGGCAAGTCATTAACTTATCATTTGATTTTTCTTTTTCTTAGGCAAATAGGCACGAATTGCAATTTCAAGTAACCTTTCGCACAAAAAGTAATCTGAGACTTATCTCTGACATGATTATTTCCATTATCCAGGTATCTATATTTGAGAATCCAGTTTCAAAGATGAAACTAAGTGATCTCATGAAAGCCACAAACCAATTCAGCAAAGAGAACATCATTGGTACTGGGAGGACAGGAACTATGTACAAGGCAGTGCTACCTGACGGTTCCTTCCTAGCTGTGAAAAGGCTACAAGACTCGCAACACTCTGAATCACAGTTCACATCGGAGATGAAGACACTTGGCCAAGTGAGGCACCGGAACTTGGTTCCACTCTTGGGATTCTGCATTGCCAAGAAGGAGAAGTTGCTGGTGTACAAGCACATGCCCAAGGGCTCACTCTATGATCAGTTAAATCAAGAGGAAGGTACTAAGATGGATTGGCTGTTGAGGTTACGAATCGGCATTGGTGCAGCAAAAGGGCTTGCATATCTCCACCATACCTGCAATCCTCGAGTTCTTCACCGCAACATCAGCTCCAAATGCATCCTCTTGGATGAGGATTTCGAACCAAAGATATCGGACTTTGGCCTTGCTAGGCTCATGAACCCAATAGACACCCATCTCAGCACCTTTGTCAATGGGGAATTCGGAGACCTCGGTTACGTGGCACCAGAGTATGCGCGTACTCTGATGGCCACGCCGAAGGGCGATGTCTACAGCTTCGGTGTGGTTCTCCTTGAGCTCGTCACCGGCGAGAAGCCTACCCACGTTTCCTCGGCCCCGGAGAATTTCAGAGGGAGCCTAGTGGAATGGATCAATTATCTGTCCAACAACGCACTTCTCCAAGATGCTATCGATAAGTCGCTGGTAGGGAAGGACGCTGATGGTGAGCTGATGCAGTTCCTGAAAGTTGCGTGTTCCTGCACGCTTGCCACCCCGAAGGAGAGACCAACCATGTTTGAGGTTTACCAGCTCGTTAGAGCCATTGGGGAAAGGTACCATTTCACTGCCGATGATGACCTGGTGCTGCCACCTCTTAGCACAGACGGTGACGGTGTAACCCTCGACGAACTCATTGTTGCCAAGTAATTGCAAAATTCATATGTCGCAGAAGACAAAACAAGACTGAATGTCTCCTTTTTTTTCCCCCTCCAAGGGAGTCAGTAATGGTGAAGTGAGTAAGATGGCTTATATAAAAGATGTATGTACCAATTAGTAGCAGCATAATACAGCATAATACTGCATTCGCTGTATAGTTGTTGTAGCTTGGTTGTTACCCACCCTTTGGAGATGATAGTAGCTGTAAAGGATAATTTTCATGTAACCAATTTGGGGACGAGGTAGTTGTTACTTGTAAGTTTGTTACCCTTGTGTCATGGGGTTTCACTGCCATTATACATCTGGCTCTTTGGTAAAGCCATTTCACATTACTTCACTTGTACGTTTTTTTTTTTTTTTGCGAAATACTACACTTGTACGTTGTCGTAGGTAGTACCAGATATTTGGCACTTGGCAGCTCACGGTAAGAAAGATTCTTGCACTGTTCCCTACACCTGGCTGCATAGGCATCTTGCAAGCAGAGGTCAGTGTTTTGTGAAGAGCACTTTACCGGTTGGAAACTATTCTCTGGTCCAAAAAGCCCGATCCTGCGTGCACGGCAGGTAGTCAAATGATTTGACTCTGACCATTGATTTATCAGGTAGTACCAGTGCGTTCAGAAGAAAATATGACAGAGACATAATTGTTATGAGCATTTTGTATTGTTACGTGGTATCATACGAGCACACTTAGGCTGTGTTTAGTTCATGAATTTTGGAAATTTGGTTACTGTAGCACTTTCGTTTTTATTTGGCAATTAGTGTTTAATCATAGACTAATTAGGCTCAAAACGTTCGTCTCACAATTTCCAACCAAACTGTGTAATTAGTTTTTTTCGTCTACATTTAATGCTCCATACACGTATCGCAAGATTCGATGTGATGGCTACTGTAAAACTTTTTCGGAAAGTTTTTGGGAACTAAACAAGCACTTACATGTAGTACAACCATTTGAGTACAGCTTGCTTGAGTATTGCTCAAGATCCAATAACGTTATATGAATGGAAGCTCATACATTAAATAGTTTGGATATATGGTTATACTTGAATTGTACAAATAATCATACTAGCTCAAAGTGTTTCCCTACCCATACTGGATTTTTTTAACATGTTTTTAACTATTTCCAAATCTAACACTGATTTTTTTATTTTCAAATCTAACACTTTTGGCCGCGCCTATTGTCACGGCGCGGCCAAACAACGCTGCCGCAACATGCATGGCGGTGCAGCAGCGACGATGATGTGGCACTTCCTCGGGCCCTGGCCGCTGACGTGGCAGGCGCTACTGCGCCGCAAATCTTGGCGCGGCAGTACCACGCCACGGCCCACGGCGCGACGAAGCCCACTACAAGACCGTGGACTGGCCTCCCTCCCCTCACTGTCTCTCTTTCACTCCAATGAAACGGATGGAGGGGGAGACGTGGCCACGCCCACGGCCGCCGCCAAGGCCACCGCCCGTGCCTCCCCCCCCCCGCGACCACCCGCCTCCCTCTCTCCCTCACTCCCCATTCCTCCCTCTCTAGGCCGCTCCAGGAGCCGTGCTCGTCGCCGGCGCAGTGGCCCCTTTCCCACCGCCGGCCGGCCTCTCTCCCCATCGTCTCCTTCACCTGCGCCCCCCTCCTACTCCCAAAAGAAGCCCGCCGGCGGCGGCCACCTCGTCGCCATTGGTGGATTTGGCTAAGCCCCAATCTTCCCCTCGTTGTCAAGGTACTCCCCTTGTGTATTTATTGATTGAATCGAAATTGTTACTTAGGGTTAAGATGCAAAATTAGTTTGAATGATTAGTTAGTATAGTTAGTATAGTAAGTTAGTATAGTTAGTAAAGTTAGTATAGTTAGTAAAGTTAGTATAGGTAGTATAGTAAGTTAGTAAAGTTAGTTAGTTTAGTTAGTACAGTTAGTGAGTCTAGTTAGTTATTGTATTTAGTATAATTAGTTATTGTAGTTAGTCTTGTATAGGTGTTAATATTATATTAGTTTGTATAGTTATAGTTAGTATAGGTATTAATATTACTATAAACAGTACGTACGACGATTAAGACGACTTGATGAAGTTTCCTCAATTGCTTTTGTAGATGGATTGTTGTGTTAGAGTTTTTTACAGAGGAAGTGTTATAAAAGAAGATGGTATATTTGAGGATATGGAAGAAGAATTGGAATGGTTTGATGAACCTCCTAGCTTCAACGACCTTTGTATCCGTTTGAATGCAAAGTTTGGTGGTGATTTCACAGTGAAGGGGAGGTTTGATAGTGGGAAGACTAGGGCACACTATGTCCTGATGCTCTTGCACGACCCTGCTCACTGGTCCCGCTACAATAGGGTGCTCCAAGGTTCTAATGTGCCCATGGCTGAGGTGGTGGTGGAGAATGGGTATAGGATGCAAGGTTTCCATGACGGGCCGTCCGTTGATAGTGTTGGAGGCAATGAACAAAAATTGGGGGTCGAAGGGGAACCAACTTAGGGTAACATGGATTTAGATGGTCAGTTGATGCAGGAGCAGTTTCATTCAACTCCAGTAGGCTGCATAAACAATGACTTCGATGTGAACGAGTTCAAATGGGAAGAGAAGGAGCAGGAGGAGGACAGGATCGATGATGTAGTTAGCAGTGATTCAGACGATTCGGATGATGACCAAGGAGGTAGAGATGCCATGCCAACATCGGTTGATGCCATGCCAGTACCGGTTCATGTTATGCCATTACAAGTACCAACTGAGGTACTTCATGCTATGCCGGCTCAAGGTAGACTAGTCATAGATTTGTCAGAGGATGATACCCCCTATGATTCATGGGGTAGGATTAGCGAAGCACAACAGTACGTTCCACCACCACCTTACCAGCGACAGAGCTTATGCAGCTGAGGTCGATGAACATACCCTTCAATGGCGTTCTGAACTATAGAGATGTCAGCATGATGGATATGGCAGTTTGTGACACCGGTCTGCAGATGTGTAGGAAATCATTGTATGACCATAAGAATGTAATCCTTGAGAAGGGGATGATATTCAATACAATGTCAGAGATGAAGTTGTTCCTTCAGGACTATGATGTCTAACATCATAGGCTCTACAACGTCACTCATTTTGACAAGGAGTTGAGGTACCACGTGACATGCAAAAATGGTTGTATGTGGAGGTTAAATGCACGAAAGAGACAGAGTGATGGCAAGTGGAGGATAAGTAAAGTGGTCCAACCCCACACTTGCCTATCAAATAAGGGGAAGGAAAATTATCAGCAGCTCACTGCACGTTACCTTGTCCGTCATATATTGGGGCTCGTCATAACAATAACAACATTTCGGTGTCTTCCTTGCAAGAGTCCATATCCGGATTCGTTAAGTATGATGTGAAGTACGGAAAGGCTTGGCGTGCTAAGCAAATTGCCCTGACGATTCATTGGGGTAGCTGGGAGGAAGCGTACAACAAGGTACCTATTGGTATTTATTAACTTGTCACTTGTTTTAATAGCCACCTATTATAAACCTATATCTCCTAACATTACTTTACTAGGTTGTCATCCCTAGTGATGTTGCTAGAGATACTTGTTGGTACTACCTAGCATTACTACTAGAATAATACAAAATAGTTCTTTATTAATTTATGTGATTAGGAGGAATATATAGATATGAATAAAAAGGAATCTGCAATCGCACAGATAATTATATCATTGTAGCACTTCACCCGAGAGTATTCCATGTATCGTTATTTATATTTTTACCACAGGGAAGGTCTAGCATGGACAAGTATTGATAACTTATACTATTGATGGAGAAGTAAACCATAACCAATATTCTACTCAAAACAGGGATAAGTCATAGGATAAGATATATATGATAAGTATTGATCAATGATAATGATAAATCACTCAGAGTACTCCT